AGAGGGGCCTTTTCACATGGGGGTTCCATGTCTCAGTCCTTGATGGAGAGGCTCCTTCCATCTCAGTCTGTCTGTCCCGGTGGTTGTAAAACAGGTGAGGGTCTTCTGTGGGGGGACCACCTGAAACTCAGGAGAAGTCCAGCCAGGCCGAGAGGTGGGACAGCTCCCAAGGCTGTTGTTGCAAAAAGGGCACAGTGCCCCTTCTTCTTCTCCTTGGGCTCAGTGTAGCACACAGCAAACACCACCTGTGAGAACACTGGCTTAGCACTGTGCTCTCAGGTCTCGGGGCCATTGGCGTGTGTAACTTTCTCCTACAAAGCCAGAGATTTTCGGGGTGGGGTCTTCTCTTCATCAGTCCCCAAATGAAGATCATGAGGCAGATGAGGGAAAATTAGGACAGACTCTTGCAAGGACCAATTTCAAGTCTTTATTGTTTCTGTTGGGTATGGTCCATTTGCTTGCCTCAGCTGGAGGTTGTACTTGTTAAAAACGTGAATCACTTGGTTTTAGAATTTTACAAGTTTAATAGTAATAAAATTTTTATAAAAATAGTAATATGATTAGAGTAATAAAAATTTGAATAACTGATATTTAGAACGATACAAGGCAATAATAACAAAGAGATACCGATGCTCTGGGTAACTTTTCTGGGCAAAATAAGCCCAAAAAAGGACACTCATGAGCCGAGGTTAGTGCTTAAAAGCAATAGCCTATTGCATATTCATACATCTCATGCATGATGCATAAATTCTATTCAAACAAAGGATTCTGTCTTGTCAGTGTCAACTTCTTTCTTTGAATGCTAATGGAGTCCTCAGGGCAGAGGAAGGCGGGAAAAAGTTAGTTTCTTCTGACAACTGAGCAATAAATTCTTTTTTCTGAAAGATTTATCTGTCCTGTGGCTGATTTCTGGTGTGAATGCCTCATTCCTTTCTTTAAAAAATATCCTACTGTTGAAGATTGCAATGCAAGATGTTTTCAATTACCATCTGTATGGCAGATTACCTTTGTCAAGTGGGCAGTTTGCCTTATCTCTCTCTTTGAGTGACCACATTCACCTCCCTCGGGAGGGGACATCTGCTGATAACAGACTATTGAATGTCACTGCATGACTGATAAGAACTAAAACATCTCCTTGTGAGATGCTCCGCCCAGAGGGAGGAGCCAAGCATTCCTACCCAGATATAATCCAGAGGTTTTTGA